GGAAGGGGAGAGTCACGAGGATCTCAAGTAGGGTACCGACCCATTTCGACTATGATGGGAAAAATTGGTCCAAAACAAAATGGGGGAAGTTGGGGAGGAAATGGGCCTGGCCCAAGTGTTCATAAGGATTGGGGTGCGAAGAGTAAAGGGGGGTCACGTGATAGAGGAGCAAATCATCTTTCCTATCAAGAACTTCTTGACCAAAAACAAAGGGGCTTGTGTTTCAAATGCGGTGGGGTGTACGGTCCCCTTCATCAATGTCCTATTAAGCAACTGAGGGTGTTCATGGTGAATGAGGAAATCCAAGTCGAATGTGAAGATGATGAAGAGGAAAATGAGGAGAGGGATGACAAAGATGAGGTGGTGGTAGAATGCACAACGTTAAATCTGTGCTCTCTCACGAGAGACCGAAATGATCAACCGAGGACTATGAAGCTACGTGGGCTGATTGGGGAGATTCCAATGTTGTTCTTGGTCGATAGCGGAGCCACACACAATTTTATTTCGCGAAAGCTTGTGGAAGCTTTGGGTTGGCAGTGGGAAAGAACCAAACAAATGAAGATTTTGATGGGAGATGGACACAAATCCGAGACTCAAGGGATTTTTCGAGGTATCAAAGTAAGCATTGATGATGGTGAGTTTGAAATTGATGCTTTTCTCTTCGATTTGGAGGACATGGACGTGATATTGGGGATGTCGTGGTTAACGACGTTGGGAGAGACCACTGTGGATTGGAAAAAATAGCGGATGAAGATCCAAACCCAGCAAGGCGAGAAACTGTTAAGAGGGGTCCCTCATGGGGATTCATTATTAATTTCAGTGTGTGGGGTGTTGGAGGAAAGAGAGAAGATGGAAGTTGCAGAGTTGGGTCCAGAGCAACAGTGTGTCTTAAACCACTTGCCGCAGCATTTCAGAGATGTGTTTGAAGAGCCTAAGGGGCTACCTCCTATCCGTGTAAAGGAACACAAAATTCATCACAAACCAGGACAAGAACCCATTAACGTGAGGCCTTACAGATATGCGTATCATCAGAAGAATGAAATTGAGAGACAAGTGCAAGAGTTAATTGAAGTGGGTCATATCAGGCACAGCCAGAGTGCTTATTCTAGCCCAGTCATTTTGGTGAAGAAAAAAAATAACAAATGGCGCATGTGTGTTGATTATAGAGCTTTGAACAAGGCCACTATTCCAGATAAATTTCCAATCCCAGTTATTGAGGAGTTATTGGATGAGCTGCATGGGGCCAAATATTTCTCTAAGTTGGACCTCCGTTTAGGATAACATCAAGTCAGAATGAGGGAGGAAGACATTCCAAAGACAACATTCCGAACCCATGAAGGTCACTATGAATACCTCGTGATGCCCTTTGGACTTATGAACGCGTCGTCGACATTCCAAGCTCTCATGAATGAAGTTTTTCGGACGCTGTTGAGACGAGGGGTATTAGTGTGTTTTGATGACATACTCGCAGTTGGGAAGAGCATATGCAATTGCTTGAGAAGGTGTTGAGAGATCACCAATTATTTGCAAACAAGGAAAAATGTTTGTTTGGCCATGAGAAGGTGGAGTATTTGGGGCATATCATTTCCATACAGGGAGTTGCGGTGGACCCAGCGAAGGTTAGTAGTGTGTTAGAGTGGCCAATTCCCAAGAACGTGAAGGGAGTTCGTGGATTTTGGGGTCTCACAGGCTAAAATCGTAAGTTCATAAAAGATTATGGTAAGATAGCTAAACCACTAATAGAGCTTACTAGAAAGGATGGATTTGGGTGGAATGAACGAGCTCAAGAAGCATTTGATGAGCTCAAACGAAGGGTCACTTCAGCACCAGTGTTGAGGCTCCTTAATTTTGAAGAAGAGTTCGTCCGGGAATGTGATGTCTCGGGGACAGGGATTGGAGCGATCCTAATGCAGGGAAAAAGACCTATGGCGTACTATAGCAAGGCCTTGAGTTCACGCAACTTGACTAAGTCAGCCTACGAAAGAGAGTTGATGGCAGTGGCATTGGCTATCCAACATTGGAAGCCTTATCTTTTGGGTCGCAAATTTACTGTTTTTTCATACCAGAAGAGTCTTAAGCAATTAATGCAGCAAAGGATAACAACAGGAGGACAACAAAACTGGTTGGCTAGACTATTAGGCTATAATTTTGAGATTGTTTATAAGCCTGGCAAAGAAAATCAAGGGGCGGCAGATGCTCTATCCCGAAGTAGAGATGAAGGAGAAATGAAGAGCATGGTGTCTTTTCCAGTTTGGTTAGATTGGCAAGACCTTAATGCACCGGTAGATGTTAATGATAAATTGAAGAAGTTAATAGAAGAAATGAAGGTTGGACAAGTTTATGTGGGATATGAATATAAACAAGGTGTTTTATATTATAAGGACCGCTTAGTGGTACCGGAGAAATCTGTGTGGGTCAATAGGTTATTGGAAGAAGCTCACTCTACTTCGCAAGGGGGTCATTCAGGGTTCTACCGAACCTATAGAAGAATTGCAGCCAATGTGTATTGGAAAGGAATGAAGAAAGATGTCCAACAATTTGTCCAAGGATGTGATACCTGTCAGAGGCAGAAATACATAACAGCAGCCCCTAATGGTTTATTACAGCCTTTACCGATTCCGGAAAGAGTTTGGGAGGATATCAGTATGGACTTCATTACTAGATTGCCCCGGTCTAAAGGATTTGAAGCATAGTAGTGGATCATTTAACAAAATACTGCCATTTTGTTCCCCTTAAACATCCTTATACGGCAAAGTCCTTAGCTGAGATTTTTGTAAAAGAAGTAATAAGGCTGCATGGAGTACCAAATTCGGTGGTGAGTGATAGGGATCCTATATTCATGAGCTTGTTTTGGAGGGAGCTCTTTAAGATGCAAGGAACAAAGTTGAAAATGAGCACGGCATATCATCCGCAATCGGATGAACAGACTGAGGTAACTAATCGATGTCTAGAGACCTACCTCATGTTTTATTACTGATCAACGCAAAACATGGGTGATTTGGATGCCGTGGGCAGAGTTGTGGTTTAATACCACTTATCACAGCTCCACGCAAATGACTCCTTTTGAAGCGGTGTATGGAAGATCTCCTCCTAAGATTGTACAGGTGGTTCAAGGAGAGGTGAGGGTAGCAGCTGTTCAAAAGGATCTTCTGGAGAGGGATGAAGCATTAAGACAGTTGAAGTCTCATTTATTGCGTGCCCAAGACAGAATGATGATTCAGGCTAATAAGCATCGAAGGGAAAGACATTTTTCTGTGGGAGATCTTGTGTTTTTGAAGTTGAAACAGAATAGACAGCAGTCGGTCATAAGCAGAATTAATCATAAATTAAGTGCTAAATACTATGGACCATTTGAAGTAGAGGAGAAAGTAGGAGAGGTGGCATATCGTCTGAAATTACCACCTACTTCAAAGATNAGTTGGGGTCAAGATCGGTGAATACGCAGAGAACGAAAAGTATGAGACAACTTGAGGGGGACGATTTGACCGAATTTCGGCAATCGATGAAGAAAATAGAATTACCACCGTTCTATGGAGAAGACCCAACAGGGTGGATTGCAAGAGCTGAAGTTTATTTTAAGGTACAGGAGATACGAGAGGCAGTCCGGGTGAATCTCGCTCAACTTTGTATGGAAGGGAGCACGATTCATTTTTTCCACGCTCTATTGAATGAATATGATGAGTTAACTTGGGAAGAATTGAATGGAGAGATGTTGAAGTGATACGGAGGCAGGGGAGAAAGGAGTATTTATGATCAATTGGCTGCCATAAAACAAATTGGAAGTATCGAAGAATATATTACAAGTTTTGAATGTTTCATTGCCTAGGTGCCACGAATGCCCGATGAATAGTATTTCTCGTATTTTATGCAAGGGCTGAAGTATGAAATACGTGCGAGAATACGAAGCTTACACGTGGCACATCCTTTGTCCAGGGGGCGCATGATGAATGTAGCTCGCGCCATCGATATGGAGATATAAGGGAGAAATAAAGTATGGCAGGGAAGGGGAGAGTCACGAGGATCTCAAGTAGGGTACCGACCCATTTCGACTATGATGGGAAAAATTGGTCCAAAACAAAATGGGGGAAGTTGGGGAGGAAATGGGCCTGGCCCAAGTGTTCATAAGGATTGGGGTGCGAAGAGTAAAGGGGGGTCACGTGATAGAGGAGCAAATCATCTTTCCTATCAAGAACTTCTTGACCAAAAACAAAGGGGCTTGTGTTTCAAATGCGGTGGGATGTACGGTCCCCTTCATCAATGTCCTATTAAGCAACTGAGGGTGATCATGGTGAATGAGGAAATCCAAGTCGAATGTGAAGATGATGAAGAGGAAAATGAGGAGAGGGATGACAAAGATGAGGTGGTGGTAGAATGCACAACGTTAAATCTGTGCTCTCTCACGAGAGACCGAAATGATCAACCGAGGACTATGAAGCTACGTGGGCTGATTGGGGAGATTCCAATGTTGTTCTTGGTCGATAGCGGAGCCACACACAATTTTATTTCGCGAAAGCTTGTAGAAGCTTTGGGTTGGCAGTGGGAAAGAACCAAATAAATGAAGATTTTGATGGGAGATGGACACAAATCCGAGACTCAAGGGATTTTTCGAGGTATCAAAGTAAGCATTGATGATGGTGAGTTTGAAATTGATGCTTTTCTCTTCGATTTGGAGGACATGGACGTGATATTGGGGATGTCGTGGTTAACGACGTTGGGAGAGACCACTGTGGATTGGAAAAAATAGCGGATGAAGATCCAAACCCAGCAAGGCGAGAAACTGTAAGAGAGGTCCCTCATGGGGATTCATTATTAATTTCAGTGTGCGGGGTGTTGGAGGAAAGAGAGAAGATGGGAGTTGTATAGTTGGGTCCAAAGCAACAGTGTGTCTTAAACCACTTGTTGCAGCATTTCAAAGATGTGTTTGAAGAGCCTAAGGGGCTACCTCCTATCCGTGTAAAGGAACACAAAATTCATCTCAAACCAGGACAAGAACCATTAACATGAGGCCTTACAAATATTCGTATCATCAGAAGAAAGAAATTGTGAGACAAGTGCAAGAGTTAATTAAAGTGGGTCATATCAGGCACAACCAGAGTGCTTATTCGAGCCTAGTCATTTTGGTGAAGAAAAAAAATAACAAATGGCGCATGTGTGTTGATTATAGAGATTTGAACAAGGCCACTATTCCAGATAAATTTCCAATCCCAGTTATTGAGGAGTTATTGTATGAGTTGCATAGGGCCAAATATTTCTAAGTTGGACCTCCATTCAGGATATCATCAAGTCAGAATGAGGGAGGAAGACATTCCAAAGACAACATTCTGAACCCATGAAGGTCATTATGAGTACCTCGTGATGCCCTTTGGACTTATGACGCGCCGTCGACATTCCAACCTCTCATGAATGAAGTTTTTCGAACGCTGTTGAGACGAGGGGTATTGGTGTTTTTTGATGACATACTCGTGTACAACCGTAGTTGGGAAGAGCATATGCAGTTTCTTGAGAAGGTGTTGGAAGTGTTGGGAGATCACCAATTATTTGCGAACAAGGAAAAATGTTTGTTTGGCCATGAGAAGGTGGAGTATCTGAGGCATATTATTTCCATACATGGAGTTGAGATGGACCCAACGAAGGTTAGTAGTGTGTTAGAGTGGACAATTCCCAAGAACGTGAAGGGAGTTCGTGGATTTTTGGGTCTCACAGGCTATTATCGTAAGTTCATAAAAGATTATGGTAAGATAGCTAAACCACTAACAAAGCTTACTAGAAAGGATGGATTCAGGTGAAATGAACGAGCTCAAGAAGCATTTAATGAGCTCAAATGAAGGGTCACTTCGGCACTAGTGTTGAGGCTCCCTAATTTTGAAGAAGAGTTCGTCTTGGAATGTGATGCCTCGGGGACAGGGATTGGAGCGATCCTAATGTAGGGAAAAAGACTTGTGGCGTACTATAGCAAGGCCTTGAGTTCACGCAACTTGACTAAGTCAGCCTACAAAAGAGAGTTGATGGCAGTGACATTGGCTATCCAACATTGGAGGCCTTATCTTTTGGGTCGCAAATTTACTGTTTTTTCATACCAGAAGAGTCTTAAGCAATTAATGCAGCAAAGGATAACGACAGGTGGACAACAAAATTGGTTGGCTAGACTATTAGGCTATAATTTTGAGATTTTGTATAAGCCTGGCAAAGAAAATCAAGGGGCAGATGCTCTATCCCGAAGTAGAGATGAAGGAGAAATGAAGAACATAGTGTCTTTTCCAGTTTGGTTAGATTGGCAAGAGCTTAATGCAGCGGTGCATGTTGATGATAAATTAAAGAAGATAGTAGAAGAAATGAAGGATGGACAAGTTTATGTGGGATATGAATATAAACAAGGTGTTTTATATTATAAGGACCACTTAGTGGTACCGGAGAAATCTGTGTGGGTCAATAGGTTATTGGAAGAAGCTCACTCTACTCCACAAGGGGGTCATTCAGGGTTCTACCGAACCAATAGAAGAATTGCAGCCAATGTGTATTGGAAAGGAATGAAGAAAGATGTCCAACAATTTGTCCAAGCATGTGATACCTGCCAGAGGCAAAAATACATAGCAGTAGCCCCTAATGGTTTATTACAGCCTTTACAGATTCTGGAAAGAGTTTGGGAGGATATAAGTATGGACTTCATTACTGGATTGCCCCGGTCTAAACGATTTGAGGCAATTTTGGTAGTGGTGGATCGTTTAACAAAATACTGCCACTTTGTTCCCCATAAACATCCTTATACGACAAAGTCCTTAGTTGAGATTTTTGTAAAAGAAGTAATAAGGCTGCATGGAGTACTAAATTCGGTGGTGAGTGATAGGGATCCTATATTCATGAGCTTGTTTTGGAGGGAGCTCTTTAAGATGCAAGGAACAAAGCTGAAAATGAGCACCGCGTATCATCCGCAATCGAACGGATAGACTGAGGTAACTAATCGATGTCTAGAGACTTACCTCAGATGTTTTATTATTGATCAACCCAAAACGTGGGTGATTTGGGTGCCGCGGGCAGAGTTGTGGTTTAATACCACTTATCACAGGTCTACGCAAATGACTCCTTTTGAAGCGGTGTATGGAAGAGCTCCTCCTAAGATTGTACAGGTGGTTCAAGGTGAGGTGAGGGTAGCAGCTGTTCAAAAGGATCTTCTGGAGAGGGATGAAGCATTAAGATAGTTGAAGTCTCATTTATTGCGTGCCCAAGATAGAATGATTATTCAAGCTAATAAGCATCGAAGGGAAAGACATTTTGCTGTAGGAGATCTTGTGTTTTTGAAGTTGAAACAGAATAGACAACAGCCGGTCATAAGCAAAATTAATCATAAATTAAGTGTTAAATACTATGGACCATTTGAAGTAGAGGAGAAAGTAGGAGAGGTGGCATATCGTCTGAAATTACCACCTACTTCAAAGATCCATCCTGTTTTTCATGTATCTTTGTTGAAGAAGGCGATGGACAAGTATAAGGTCGAGGATGCTCTCCTTACAGGGTTAGATGATGACAGAGCCGAAGTATTAGTTCCTATGGCCATATTAGCCACTAGGAACTACACCAAAAGAGGGGAAACTAAGAAGCAAGTACTGGTTCAATGGAGGGAACATAATGCAGACGAAGCAACTTGGGAAGATGAAGTAAATATTAGAAGTCAATTTCCAGAGTTTAGCCTTGAGGACAAGGCTTTAATTCATGAAGAATGCATTGATACGTACCCAAGTGTTAGGCAAGTCAATGAACCCTTGATTCAAGGAGGAGGAAATAATAAAAATAGGTGGGGCAGAGTTTATAAGAGGAGAGAAAAGGGTGACGTGGCTTTGTGAGGGAAATGTGTTAGTTAGAAGAGAGAAAAAGAGTATGGGTTGTTATATATTATGAGGTGTAGGATGTGAGAGGGGACACATTTTGTTTTAAGTGGAGTGGGAGGAGAATAATTATTATGATTCTTCTAAGGAGCTTGGCTTTAGGCAAATGGTCCTGGAACCTTCTGAGTTTTCTGTTTTCATCATAATAGTGAATTTTCATCATTCCACTTTTCACACTTCATATTTTCGATTGTTCCATTTATTCATAAACTCTGCTTTCTATCATATTGATTAAAAAGAAAAAGAAGAAAATTATTGAAAGGTAAAGTGAATAGTTAGAAGTGACAATAGTACCTGCACATGATAGAGGAGAAGGCACAATAGTGCATCCACCCTCATCTCCTACACAAAAGAAACAACTTAGGCACTCTTGATAACAATTAATTTTAACCATAACATTGATCTAATAATTATAGGATTCTACTCACAAAATACTTATCCCCTTCCCCCAATTTCACAAGGCACCATTTGCCACTACTGAAGGTGATTTCTACAGCAACAACTGAGTTCATATCTTTCTTTTAAATGCTTTGGCATCAAAGTTTATTCTTGAGATAACCATTCTCATGGAAACAAAATAAATTCATTGTAGCAGGTAGGCAACCTAATAGTGGCATTCCAAACTTACATTCAAAATAGTAGCATTTTCATCATGACCAGAGGTAGCAGAAGCAAAGTTTACTCCAATAAGAAGATTTTTCCTTAATGCTTGTGGGCTAATATATGCAGGAGCATAACTCTTTCAGAATAAATTGTTTAAATTCGAAGAGAGACACAAACATTTCAAAGAGAGATACAATTGAAGACAAAGTCGAATGTATGCTCACTGTTGATAGGGGAGCAATGTAAATGTTAAACCCAATCCCTTATGTGTTTGGTTTTTGATGATGAAAACACATATATGTTTCTATGACAACAACATAAATGTTTCCTTATGTTTAAGACATATATTGCCTGAACTGTTTAGGTTGCATACTTTCTATGGTTGTACATGTATTTACATTTGTTGTATGCATACTCATCTTTTCATATATTAAAACCACTTGCACAAAGTAGATATGAATGAAGTAATCGATTACAGTGGTTATGTAATCAATTAAGTTCATCAGATAGCTAATGTTTAAACTGTGGCAAACTACAATTTTTAACCGATTACATTATGTGTATAATTGATTAAAACTCATGTCGTTGCTAACACATGTTTTCTATGTGCTGTGATGATTTTTGAGAAGAAAAAGTTTTCAAAATTTTCTGTGTGTAATACTTAACCGATTACACTGTTTACTTAATTGGTTAAGTCTGGTATACTTTGAAAATTTTTTTCAAGATATGTCATAACGGTCATATTTTCAAATAATCTGACTTATATTTTATGTGCAATTGATTACATTAATTTCTTAATTAGTTAAATCTGTTTTACTGTATTTTTGGTGTAACTCTGTTAAATGTGTAACCGATTACATTATTTTCGTAATCGATTAAAAAGCTTCAGACATAAGAAAATCTATATAATGATGCGTTGCAATGTGCATTAAGAACTTTTGATCATTTGAAATTTTAAATTTGATATCAATGAGTCAAGAAAAGAATCGTAGGTGCGCTGGTTACTCCATGAATCAAGATACAAAAGATTTGCATATTTTGAAGGATTCTTGAAGGATAGCTTTGAACGTTTATTGGTTGATCAACTATTGCACATTAAGGTGTTTTCTTTCCTGATCAAAACTTTGTTTGCAATCAAGAGATTGTGGTTTCCCTGTGCGTGTTTCCAGGAAGAAGAACTTGTTGTTCTTGTGACTTTGAGAAGGGTCTCAAAGGGGTACTACAGAGAAGAGAATTGTTCTTTCTGTAGGGTGTGTTTTTCCTATAATAGATTGGTGAGTTAGAGAGGAGATTACATTTGGGAGTTGGTCTCTATAAAGCCTTGCTGTAAAAACTCAAATCCTTTTGGTGGAAAGTCTTTCAGTCTGAGGTTGATTGGAAGAGATTGAATGTAGGCATTGAGGCCGAACCGGTATAAAAAACTGTGTTTGTTTTCTATCCTTTAACTTCTTTACTGCATTATTTTCATTACTGTTTTATGCGTTAAAGATCATTCTAAAGATTTCCAAAAAGATAGAAAATAAAGAATTTTTATTCAAAACCAATTCATCGTCCCTCTTGGTGTTGAGAAACAAGGCATAACATTTCTTACACTCACCATTGGTCAGAAGTTATTCTAGATTGACAACCTGAGAGGCTTTCGCGATTTCTCCTTTCTCGCGAAGGAGGCCGAGCCACTCCCTGAAGCCTCCGAATAGGTTTTCGTCGTTGTCAGCGCCACTCTTCTCTCGCATAGGGCTTCTTCCATCTTCAAATTCTACAACACTCACCAGGAGCAGTAGAGGTGTCTTCACGGTTTGATCCAACAAGTGGACAGTGCCTGGAGTCGTTGCAGGTGTAGACAACGCCAACGCAATGCCTCCTTCTTCGATCTATAATGGCTGCTGTAACAATCCTATAAATCACTGTGTTGTGTGTTGTTCCAATTAATATTCAATTGCAATCAATTTCATAACTAACTATTTCACTGGTTTTTGATTATAAGAGTGTCTAAGAAGAGTTTTGAAGAATCAATGATCAAATTTGGGTTTTACACATCAAGATTTTATAAAGAAACTAGAATGAATTGTTATGATCTGATTTGCACTACTGGAGTGTATTCAGAAGATTAGTTTCATCATCTATAATCTGAGGATTGTGTTCCTGTGTAGGTGTGCCAGGGAAGAGAGTCGTGTGTGTTCTTGTTGAGTGTTGAGATTGTTCTCATTGAGTGTTGAGATTGTTCTCAAGGTGTTAAGAGAGTTCTGATTGTTCGCTATTTGGTAAGAGTATGAGGGTGTTCACATCTTGTTTTCTATAGTGAT